TAGGCCTCAGTGAGAGCTAGAGTTGTATTTTGATCCCACCAGATACCCCACTTCAGTTGCCACTCCCCACCCCCATCCTCATTCCAGGGCACTTCTGCTGAAGAACTGCAGCCTAAATCTCAATCCAAGATCCCTGTCGGAGGCACTAGACAGGGCTTCAGTGTACACCCAGCCTAGTTATCTTCACGGCTGTTCAATCTCTTCCAACCCAGCTCCCAGCTGTTTGCAGGTCAAGAGGTCAATGCCATCTGCTGTACACACTGAGATGTGCACACTTGCACACACAAGCATGCACATTTCCAGATGCATGCACCCAAGCACAATGCATCCCTTGCCTCTTACAGTCAGGAAGGGCTTATACAAGGCAGCCAGTGGGCAAGAAGCTGAGAGGAGGAGCATCAAGTATGCCTCCTTCTGGGCTACCCTTTTGTGTCAGGGCAAGCATTGTCCCCTGGTTTTCTGCCTGCGTGGGGGATTTCTCTGGGACTCACAGTTCTTACCCTCTGACTCCTTCACACTAGGCCCAGCAGAAGGGGCTTCTCCCAGCTACTCTGTGGAATCTATGTTTGGACTACTAAGGGGAAGAAGTCCCTGGGCAGTAATAGCACATTGAAAGCCTGGAGAGTAGGGCAAAATGAAGTCTTGGAGGGGGCCAAAGCTTTGGCCAGCAAAGCCTCAGGCCTCAAAGAGCTCTCTAGGGGAATTCAGGTGTCTCATGCAAATAGATGGATGAAAGCAGTGGTGAATGGCCCTGGCCCAGGAGGACCAACATCCCTAGACCTCACCAAAGTGCTTGAAGGCCCCAGACTGCAGTCCTAGGGGTCCCCATGGCTCCCACTCACACCCCCATCTCTCTTATCCAGCACAGAGCTGCAGAAAAGAAAGCAAATCACACTGACCTTTTTGCCTCCTCTTCTCCTAGCCCCACTTCCAGGCTCTCAGGCAAGGAGAGGTGGTTGCGCTGTGGTTCTCTGCTGCAGCTCTGCAGCTCTGGCCTCCAGCTCTGGACCGGACTGCAAGAGCCTGCCAAGGGGGTGTTCCCACTCAGAATGCGCACCTCTGGCAGGGGGGCAGTTTATATCTGTCTTGCTGTTGTTTGATGTACACACACCCACTCTATTTACTACCAAATAAAAGAAATACATCTGTGTTGCCAACAGAAACAGTTCAAGCAGTGGCTCCTTAGTCTCCCAAGGCCTGGAGGAGCACCACAGCCCACCCCATGGGGACCTCAGTTTGGAGTGAGGTCCCAGCTTTTAGGAGTAGGAGAGCCAGAGGTGGGTGGGAGCTAGCTCTGCTGGTTTAACCAAGTGACTTGTGAGGAGGCAACGGAGACAAACTTGTCCTGAAATTTTCAGGCTTGTGTTGCAATGTGAGAGGCCACTCAGCTTCCTGCCCATCGATTTCCAGGATTCTGCCCAGCTTGCCTTCATCAGGGGCCACTGGAGGAAAACAGTTGTCGAGGAACAGAGTGTTCAGCTACATCTGTGTTTCAGCCATCTCAGTGATGCCAAATTCTTATGTGGGTGTCAGCACTAGAATCCCATCCATTTGTGTCTGTCTGGAAGTATAAAGTGGATACATGTGCAGGTTGAATGTTTGTGTCAACCATGAGCATATCCTAGGTTGTGTACATGTGCTTTTGTTTGGGAAATGTGGAAAGGATTTAGATCCATAGTTTAAGTCATTTGCATTGATGAAGATTAACTGGGAGTCCATAGCTGGAAAGATCTGAAGTTAGAGGAGGGAGGGAAGGAGGAAGGGAGAGAGAGAGAGTCTACAATCTGAAGGAAGGGTAAAAGAACAAAATGGGGGTGTCCATTCAGTGTCCCAAAACAGGCTGCTCTGGCTTCCCCAGTGGAATGTTCAGGAGATATTTTAGGAAGCCCCTTTTTTGTGGGTGGTTCCAGCAGCTCTCAGCAAGCTTTGCAGAGACTTTCTAGGTGGGGCAATAAAGTGATGCCAGCCATCTCTCCTGATGTGACAGTCCCAAGTGGTTTCTTGATCTCTCCTGACACAAAGGTCTCAGAAAAACCTGTAGTGCAGCCTAGGATGCTTCCTGCTCAGCCTTTAGTATTCCTTCCTCATCCCTGCACCCCAGCTCCACTCTTACAGTGGGAGAAATGTGAGGAACCAGATCAGTGGGACAGAAGTGGAGGTTTCCCTAGGGCGGCTTCCTAGGCTCACACAGCCTGTCCCCAGGCTGCATCACCTCCTCCCCCAGGGTAGCACTGGGTAAAGACAAAATGGGCCCAGCGTAGGGAAGCTCCCCAGTAGGGGGAAAGAAAGGCAGCACAGAGCAGGGCAAAGCATAAACTGTACTTGTAGAGAACCAGTTATTTCTTGACTTTGTAAAGACCAGGTCAGTCAAGAACCGTTTTCTAGAATCCAAACAAATAAAGAAGTGTTTTCTTGGCGTTTGATAACATCGTGTTCTGGCTGTAAAATCTAAGGACATGTTTGCTATTGCAACATTATTTTTAATGAGCTGTTACCGGCCTGTCCCGCAGTTAGTATTGCCAACAATAAAAGGCATCACTATGTTTGCAGGTAACACAAGGAACAACATATTTTGACCCTGAATTTCTGTTTATTTTTCATTTACGACACATGCCCTCGTTTTTATTCCAAACCAGAGGGAAATAAAGGTAGATCTATCTTCACTGGAACCCGGACTAAAATTTTGCCATAAATAAGCGTGCTGGTTTATTTGGGGGCGGTTTTCCATCAACAGAAAATGATACTGGACGTTTCAGCCACAGTAGAATCAATTGTGTCGACTAAATTTGAGGAGCCTGGCGATGCACCGGGGAAAGGGGGTACTGAAAGGCGCTCTCCAGCGGTCGCATCTGGCAGGAAGCTTCTCCCTCCGGAAACTTCTCAGCCTTTACCTTCCTTGTCTCCCGCTTCCGGCTCCCAAGCTTCAAAGTGCACTGCAAGGGGCGGGGGGTGCATGCATATCTCCAGCTTGAAGGCAGGCAGCCCGCTGGGTTGACGACGAAAGCCTGAGCACCTGCTCCCGCGGGCTGACCAGCTCTTCCCGGGGTCGCGGCGCGAGCCTTGCCTCTTAGGCTGCGCACTGAGACTGTGCTGGCTGCGCGCCCGGCATTGTGCTTCGGGAGTCGGTCTGGACGTGGGGACCCAGAAAGGCCACCCTCAAGGTGTTGAGCGTCGGTGGACAGAGATACCCTAATTGGAAAGGGATACAGTCCTCTCCGTTTCCGCAGCCGCAGCCGCAGCCGCAGCCAGGTGGCTTCTGTTCTCTAGCACCTAGCACATCTGGACAGTCGCAATTCCCCTCAAGCACCGCTAAAGCCTCCCCGTCCTAGAAATGGTAGTCACAGTCCCGAGAGCTGGGTGGCTTTCCCGGAGGCTGCCCTCTCGAGGCCAGGCCTCTCCCAGCTGGTCTTGATGATCAGTCTCCTGTTGAAGTGAAACTCAACTTACTCGCTTCTTTCCTCTAACACCACTGGGGGCAACTGGAGCCACCAAGTTCTTAGCTAGGTATCTTAATGATGCCCTGCCCAGAAACTCGCTTTTGAAGGAGCCATGTGTTAGGAACTGAACGCAAGGCTGCAGCCCTGTGCTCAGAAATAACAGATCTCTTTAAAGTGGCTGCTGCTTTGCTCAGTCTCCGAAAACTAGGTAAAACTAGGTCTTTACCCACTCCGCTTCTCAGTCTTCCCTGCTCCTAGGGTGTTTCAACCCTTGGAAGACACAGGGGAGAGAGCGCCCCTCGTCACAAACAAAGCCGCCTCTGTCTCTGCCGCCTGCTGAATTATAGGGGTGTGCATCCAGGACGGACTTAAGCACAGAGGCAGCCAGAGAGCGAGACCAAAAAGAGTTTAGGAGACACCTGCTCCGGGAAAAATTATCCAAAGTTACACACTCTGGCAACATGAAAAGCTTCGTTTTTCTTTTCTTTTTAATTAATTAAATTTCACGACAACATTAAGTGTAACAATATTTTGTGAATTTTTTTCTCTTTTTCTTAAAAAGGGACTGATCCTGGCAGAGGAAAGAGAGATTAGGGGAAACAAACTACTGCAGACCAACAGGTGTAGCAGACAGAAAGAAAACAGAGGGGGTGGCAGAGCAGAAAGCCCTGCGGAATTGAGGGTGCATCTTACAAGAAATCTGTACAATTATCAAATAAATTAAAATTCTCCTAAATTGATTGTCCTTCACTTAAAGCGCTCCAGTAGACCTAACTCCTTTGAGCATTGCTACCTATCCTTGTTTTCTTCCTTCCTCTTTTTTGTCTGCTTAATTTTCTCTTTCTACACAAGTGACTGATTACACTGCCAAAAAGTCTGCTTCCCTCCTGGACAAAGAAGCAGAGCTTTCAGGAAATTGTGTACAATATTGCACAGGTCAAAAAAATAGATACTGCAGAACAAAAATGTAGGGGGGAGAGGACAAAAGATACAATTTTTTAAAAATACTAAAACCATTCTCTCAAAAACGGGGAACAAGTAATAGTAATATTAATAATTTACTGGTAGGTGAAATTCCCCAAATCAATGCTACTAATAAATAACAGCACTCAAACCAGACTAGAGGTGGAACTGTTTCAGTTTTCAGAGTCCTGATTTTTGGCTGTTTTATCTTTTCCCTTTAAACAGTTAGAGGATTCTTCCATCACAAAGTGAGACAGATGAAGAGGTTAATTGCCAGACCTTTCCTGAAGAAAAAAGCGGCCCCAAAAGAGGTTCTCATGAGAAGCTGCTCGGATTCTGAAAACCGGAGAGGTAACTGGTTAGGGGCAGGGAGGAAGAACCACACCCCGAAATCCAAAAATAAAAGAACTACCCTATTCATTCTTTCCCTCTGGATTCTCAGTATTCTACAGAAAGTGAATAAACTAAAGGGATTATTGGGGTTTTGCGCTTACTTTCCTTCTACAAAAAGAAAACCCAAAAGTCACAGCGCAATGCAAACTTAGGGGTAGGGCTGCACATATCACAAAAAGCTTTCAGCCAAAATATTTGACCTGGACACTTTGTCTTTTTCCTGCTTTCTCTTAATTAGTAACCAAAATCAGAAATAAGAGGAGAAGCGCCTCAAATCCATTAGGGATGAATTGCACGAAAATGCATTGCAAATACTTACAAAACGCTACCGATTGGGGAGGGGGGCCAGGCAGTGCGCCGAAGCCCGGGTTCCCAAGGCCGCTGGACGTTTCCGCACCCTCCGCCCGGCCCGGCCCAGTTTCCTCCTGGATCCGGGAAGGTGACCAGGCACTCCCTCCACCTCCCCTCTCGGCCCTCAGACCGGCCGTAGCAGCGGCACGGACGAGACCACGGGGTGCGAGTAGTAGACAGGGTGCGGGAAGGTGAGCAGCGGCTGGCTGACCGGCACCGGGGCCCCCGCGGCCGCGGCTGCCGCGCCCTCGGCTGCCGAGTTCTCGTGGTAGAGGATGGGCACGCGCACGATGCGCTGCGCCGCGGCGTGGCTCAGGTTGGCCGCCTCCAGCTCCGCGGCCAGCTGCCGCTTCCACTTGTTGCGGCGGTTCTGGAACCAGATCTTGACCTGCGTCTCAGTGAGGTGCAGCGAGGCGGCCAGGCCGGCGCGCTCGGAGCTGCTCAGGTAGCGCTTCATGTCGAAGGTGGACTCGAGCTGGAAGACCTGGCTGCGCGAGAAGACGGTGCGCGTCTTCTTCTTGCGACACGCGGGCTTCTTCTCAGGACTCTCGGCGCCCTTCTTCCAGTCCTCAGAGCCCGGCGTCGCAGACACCGCCCCTACGCTCGCCCCGGCCGCACCCGGCGCCGCCTCGCCCTCCTTCTTGCCTTCCTCCGAGTCGCTCTCCTCCAGAATGATCTCGTCCGGGCTCTTGGAGTCCAGCTCCTTGTGGTCGGGGTCAGCCTTGAGCAGGGGCTCCGGGGAGTCGCGGTCAGTGCCTGAGGCGGGGGAGGAGTCTCGCAGGAGGGCCTTCTCCGAGGCTGGGGAGACACAGACAGACGGACGCACACACACGCACACCGACACAGCCTTGAGCGAGGCTCGGGGCCCGGAGGCAGCAGGTTCAACCCGCACCGGCCTCCAGGCCCGGGGCCCTGAGGCCTCACCGTTCTCGGGGGCCTGCTCCTGCCCCGCCGGGCTGGGGTAGAGGGCCCAAATCCTGGGATCCCCCTCCTCCCGAGGACGTTCGAACAGACGGTAGCAGCGCGGCCGCTCCTTTCCTTCCCCAGGCTCCCCTGCCCAGGGCCCGCAGAAAGATTCGCCAACCGCTCGGGTCCGCCTGGGTCAAGCCCTCCTTCCAGGCGGTGTTCCCGGCCCTTGCTGTCGGAAGCCACCCCCTTCTTGCCCCCAGGCCACTTTTCCCGGGAAGCGTCCGCGCCCGGGACTCCAACTCCGCCTCTTTTCTCACCAAGTGGGATTGGATTCCCGGACAGCGCTAGCGAGCGCGCTGGCAGGAGATGCAGGCCGGGGGCCAGAGGAAGTTGGCCAAACATCGGGTTTGCGGGAGTGGGGATCCCAGGTCTGTGGTGGAAACATCGCCGGGTGGGGACGGGACGGGCGCGCGAGGGAGAAGAGAACGAAAGTTCAAAGAGGTCGGTACCTTCAGGTCGCGGGAGGTGGCCGCCGGCGGGGGTCAGGGTGTAGGGGTACCACCAGGCCGGGGAGCGCTCCAGGTAGTGCGCAGGCAGGGCAAACCTCTGCGTTGGGATCTCAAAGCGGGGGAAAGCCAGGTCGCCCACCTGCGAGAGCGCGAAGCCCGCGGCGCCCTCCAGGGCCCCCTTGGCTGCAGCGGCGGCAGCGGCGGCGGCGGCAGCTGCGGAGGCTGGCGCGAAGAGAGTCCTTGGGGGCGGTTGAGGCTTTGGGGGCGGCCGATGGTGGTCTCCGTTGAGCAGGTTCTTGATGGAGAACGGGGACTCCTTAGGCGCAGGAGGTAGAGGTGGTGGCGGCGGCGGGGGCTGAGTGCTGGCGGTGCCCGAGGCTTCCGGCCCGGGCTCCGGCATGGTCCCCTCTCCTCCGGGTCCCCGGGTGGGAGCGAGCGGGACAGGCAGGTGGCCGGGGGAGCAGGCGAGCGGCCGGAAATCAGAACATAAACGGGACTCAACTATGGGGCGCAAAGTCGGGGGCCGCCCCGGGCGCAAACCGAGCCGCAGGAGGGCGGGGTGAGGACCGGGCCGGGGCGGGCTCGCATGGGGGAGGGGTCCCCAGGGGCGGGGAGCGACCCGGCCGCGGCTCGGAGGGAGCGAGGCGGCTCGGCGGCGGCTGCGCTCCCGGGGAGGAGGCAGCAAGAGCAGTCCCCGGCTTGGGGCTGCGTCAATCCGGCGCCGGATGCTAATGATGAAATCAAAATGTCATCCAAGTTAAATGCGGGGAGTATACGGCGATTGGGCGCGTACAATGGCAAATGGGATTAGGCAGACGAAGGCGCAGCCGAGCCCCGGCCCCGCAGCCGCCTCCGCCACCACCCCCTCCTCGCTTTCCCTCGGATTTTGGCGCTTTGGCTTCGGGCTACAAGACCCCGCCTGTTATTGGCTTTATATAGTCCAATTAGGCAGCAAATGAGGACAAACCTATTAGCACAAAAGGATATTGGCTCTCGCTAAAGAGGCACTCGGAGCGCTCCTACGAGCGCAGGAGACGAGCGAGGCACCAGGAGCCGGCGGCGCCCCCGGCCGGTCGGAGCGTACTGACAGCCGCGAGGCCGGAGCCCGAGCCTCCGTCTCCCCCCTTCGGCTCAGGGGATCCGCTTCCCGCCGCCAAGCCCGCGGGAAGAGGGAGGGGCGGGCTAGGCCCGCCCGGGTCACTTTGGGGTTATCCGCGCTGGCAGCTGCCGCTCCCCTCCCCCAAGGGCTTGGCCGGGGCCCGCTGCCCCCTGCCGCTGGAGAGCCACTCAGCGCCGGCCCTGGAGGCAGGACGCGACCTGGGCCCGTGACGAACTCAGCACTTTCCTACCCTGTGGGGTCCGGTGGCCTCAGCATTTCTCCTAAAACCTGCTAAGAAGGGCGCGACCACGAAGAGAGTGATTTGGGTTCCCCATCCACCGTCTAGCCGATAAGAAGTGAATCTGGTAGTGAGTCTCTACACTGTGTCTGTGGGCTCAGGAATCCGCGTGGCCTTGGCCTTCGGCGCTTCCCAGGGACCGAGAGTGGGTGCGCACCGGAGTGAGTCCCAGCGCACCGGAGTGAGCACACAGAAAGGGCCGACGCCCTCGGGTCGCTCGGTGGGGCCGCTGGGGTAGCCGCGTTCTCGCACGGATGGCTGCTCTCGGAGGGGCCCTCCTGTTCTTTGGATGCCGGCGTCAAGCCTCTAGGCTCAACGCCAACCTGCGATCTCGAAGACAGCACTTTCTTCTAAGAAGTCTCTCTGGCTGGAGTTTGGAGCTGCCTAACGCTTTAATAGGGGGAAAGTGTACCAAAGGCGCAGAGAAGTACCTTCCTCGGTCTTCTGGTGGTGGGAGGGACACTTGCACCGCATCCGAAGGGCTTCTGAGTCCCCGGAGAGCCACGCCGGGCCCCTGAGGAACAGCTAGGTGGACAGTCACTCCATTACATAGTCTTAAAAAACAGTTCCTGGCTCCCGCGAGAAGTCCGAGAAGCAGGCGTTTTTAGACTCTAGATTTAAGTGTCAAATAAATCAGAATTATTGGGGGGGGGGTCCTTTTCCGAGAGACAGCTCTGTCCTAGAAAGGTGACAAACTGCCTTCATTCCCCTCTGCCCCAGGTGAAGCTTCCCGTACACCTGAGGTCTTTTTGTAGTCCCTCCATCTCCCCGCTGTTTTCCTTTTCATTATGCCGAGCCTTGCCTAATTGAAAGCCGCTCTGCATTGGCAGGCGCGACCGTTTTGGGTTCCCAAGTGAGAAGTAGATGTGTTTTATTTTTCAGTCCTAGGGTGTCAGAACCTCTCCAACCAAACCTCGATTGTCGCGTTTAATGTTTCTGCAAACATTCACCTACAGCAGTGAACCCTACTTTTGCTTTGGCAATCTGGAAGCCTCGTAAGTGGAGCTTCCATAAATATTATTATTCCTTTGAGTTCTTACAGAGTTTTATGGAAGGCTACACTATCCAAAATCCGAGTTGGAACCAATCACAGCCTTGAAACTCAAGCAGAGTGGGTCTCACAATGGGCATTTATAGGCGGAGACGGGTGCATTGGAGAGGAGACCTGGCCAAGGTCACCCAAATGGTGCTGCACGCCCATATTTGCCTAACCGGAGAGATCGCTCAATGCACGAAGGTCTACGCAGGTTCGGTGCACACTGCTGCACACCGAGCACGAGGTGGTGAGCCTGGCGCGGGGAGCGGCCCCGGAGCTCCGCTGTCAGACGCGTGCAAATTTGCTAAAGTTCTGACGCACCAAGCGGCCTTTAAACTGAATCTGAAAGGCTTCTGTCTCCCCAGAAAGGCTGAGGATTTAGCTTAATGGTAGAGCGCTTGCCTAGTAAGCGTAAGCCCTGAATTCTATCCTTAGCACTGGAAAACAACAACAAAAAACAGCTCCCCACCCACCTATCTCCAGAAGAACTGCACTGCAAAGGTTCCTGAAAAGGGTGCGGGTTCTGTCGGGGTAGGTGGGCCCTTGGCTGACCACAACTCCAGAACTAGATCCAGATGGGAAAGGAGCCTGTCCCGGCAAAAGAGGGGTACAGGACAGCCGTCCCTGCCCCTTGCCGCGCGACTTGCCGCCCCTCACTCTTCCTTTGTCGCCCCAACAGTGTCTCCTCCGAAGTGGCGCGCAGGTGCGCTGGTGCGAATAGAGGTGTGTGTGTGTGTGTGTGTGTGCGCGCGCGTGCGTGCGTGTGTGTGTGTGTGTGTCTGTACGCGCGCGCGCATTTTGAGCAGGGAGAGGACTTTTGAGATGTCGGTATCCTCAGCCCATTCTCTGAGTTGGGTTGCTGGGCTTGGATAGCAGCGTTTGTAGAGCAGATCTTTCCTTTCGCTTCCAGAAAGCTCGGATTTTGAGCCCTGAGCTCGAACGCAGCGGTTCACTCGCCCTCTGGCGAGGGATCTGGCTCCTGCTGCCTTGTGTCCAAGACTTCATCCAAAGTCCAGCAAAGAGCGCCCTCTATGGGATATCCTCTAAACTAAGCCTCCAGGCGTGGCTGGAAAATACACAGTCACGGAGTAGAGCGTTTTAAAGCCATTAGGTCTTAACCTTGTGAGGCGGTTAGGGAACGAAGCTGCCCCCCTCCCTTTTTCCTGCTATGGATTCTGGAAGAAGTAGAGGGTGAAACAGTCCACACGTTTCTGTTGATCTTTACCTGACTACCACAGGTGACGCCTGCTTCTCTCTCGTTTTAGAGCTCATTCTACGGTCCCCTTGCAGCCATCCCTTTAGGTGCTAGTCCTGACAACAGGCTTAGGGTGAGCTCCAGGGACACAGTGTGAGCAGGGGGAGCGGGCTGCCTTCTTTCTCTTTCCAGGACTCCAAGCACAGTCGAACCACCAGCGGGTGCTCAGTAACCACTGTGCTAATGCCCGAGTGAGGTGGGTGGGTGGGCGAGTGGATTCCCAGTCCTACTGCGAAGGATCGGTCCACTTGACTGGGGGCCTGCAGATAGCCTGACTATACCCAAAAGCAGTTTTTGAAGAGTGTAATGAAAACCTGTGGTCTTTTGATGATACATTTTACAAAACCTAAAGAAAGCCCAGGAATAGGATACTGGAGGGTATTTCATAGGCTGGCCCAAGGTAGAAGGGCTGAGCAGAGCAAGATCTCCACACCACATCCCCTTGGGAGGACGGGCCAAGAGGACAAGGGCCCCCTGGGGAACACTAGTGATGAACACCTAGCTTTTCACAAGGCTTTGCAAAAGACTGCTTAGAATGACATCCTCAGCCCCCAAACCCACTACACGCAAGACACACATAAGCGTATATATTAATGCAGTCAGTAAGAAGGGAATTCTTGGAGGGGAGCACTTCCACATTCCTAACTACTGAGCCTGAAGGAGGCTGCTTCCCTCTGCTAGCATGGAGTCTGTCTTGAAACAGCTTACCGGGGCCTCCCATCTGCTTACCCATGGTGATGGTAGTGGTGGTGTGTGGGAGGGAGGGGAATACTTAGGCTGCTAACCAAACCTGCACAGGCCGAGGTTGGGGGCCCCCACAACTAGCATAGCCACAGTTTGCCCTGGTCCTGATGATCACATTTTACCACCTGATTCTCCTGCCCGGTAGGTCCTTAATTTATAGGCAGCATGGACTTAAGCCTGGAACTGTGATCCTGGGGAAATTGGGCCCTAGACTGACTATGTGTCCTCTGGCAGTTTCCTGGAAAGCTCTCGCTCATCTTTTTTTTTTTTTTTTTTGAAACAAAGTCTCGCTATGTAATTCAGTCTGGCCTTGAACTCACTATGTAGCCCACGCTGGCCTCGAACTCATGATATTCCTCTTGCCTCAGCCTCCCGAGTACTGGGAATACAGGTATGTGCCACCACACCTGGCTTCTCTTCCATCTTTTCTGACACCAACAGAAATGTTGCTGAAGACCCATCTGGCTAATGGATGTGACCCTGAGAAAATATACATCCCTTGGAGATGGGGCAAAGCCATGTTGTCCATGATCACATATATGTCACAGGCAGTGTCTTTAGAGTGGCTGAATGGTTAACCTTTCCCTGAGAGTAAGGTTAATAACTACGCAAAGGTAATTTCTGCTAATAGTCATTGAGTCCTCATATGCCAGGCACTATGCCCTGGGGAGGTAGGCAATAGTATCATTCCCACAGATGAGGAAACTGAGACACAAGAGTATGACAAAGGGAAGCTGGAGCAAGTACTGAAACACATTTGGCCTCATAGTGTTGTTAGAAGGACAGTACAAGCATACAGCAAGTGCTATGTAAGTGCTGGCTATTGTTGCTTTTAATCTTCATTCACTCTTCAAGATGAATCCACTGGCCAAATATCTGTTTGGGGAGGGGTTCCTTGAGAAAGCTTACATGGTCTTATGAGGATTTCTTACTCTGAAATCATGAATTGAGCTAGCTTTCCTACATCTGCTTCTGCTTCTCTTCTTTAAAAGTCTGTCTCGCTAAACAAGGAATCTTCCATATGTAATTATTCCCAGGTTGTTTTCTGTCTTCTGAGTTCTCATTAAGGGAAAAGAACTTAAAATTTTGCTCCACCGAAACTTGCCGTCTCAAAATGTCTGGATATTTTGTGGGCTCATGCTGATTATTTGCAGAGGCCTTTGACAAGACCATGTGTTCTAGCCTCCTCATCTGAAAAATAATGGTATGCCTCAGAATGAATTCATTATAAACAAAGTCAGATGGGCTTTATATTTGGGAAGAAGATTCTCCCTGTGGATAAGACTGTAAAAAGGTCCCTGACTCCATCCTTGGGACTCATCCTCCTTCCATGTCTGTACCCCTGAGAACTGATGTGCTCACCACACTTCAACTCAGGGGGAGGCTGCTGCCTCCCCCCACAAGTGGCACAGGAGTTCTATTGAGGATGCAGACAATGTTCTTTGGTTTCTCTCAGGCTTAAATTTCTAAAACAAATCCTGCTAAATACCAAGAACACAGCAACAATATATTCAGCAAATATTCGTTGAACATCTAATATGTGCCAGACACTATTCCAGGAACTCTACATGCCTCAGGGATCACAGGATCCCTGCCCTTGGGAGCTTAAACTCTAGTGGAGGGGTGATAAGTGTTACAGGA